ATTTTCTTCAAATGTTAGAAATATTGGCTGCATATAATGAAAAAGTTGCTGGAGTTATCTTAGATAAAGCTCCCAAAAATGCCTCTTACACATCACCACATATCCAAAAAGAAATTTTACATGTTTTTTCAACTAAAGTGAAGAAAGCAATCTGTGAAGAAATTGGGGAATCAAAGTTTTGTATAATTGTTGATGAAGCACTTCATGAATCCAAGAGAGATCAAATGTCTATAGTGTTGCGATTTGTTGACAAAGAAGGTCTTATTCAGGAGCTTTTTTTGGGCTTGTTCATGTGTCAGACACTGAGGCATTAACTCTGAAAAAAGGTATATACTCTATATTTTCTCATAATTCACTAAATATTCAAAATATTAGAGGACAAGGATACGATGGTGCAAGTAACATGCGAGGTGAATGGAATGGGTTACAAGCTTTGATTTTGAATGATTGCTCATATGCTTACTATGTTCATTGTTTAGCACATCGATTACAATTGGCATTAGTTGCATCATCAAGAGAAGTTATTCATGTTCACCACTTTTTCACTAAATTGACTTCTATTGTCAATATTGTTGGTGCTTCATGTAAGCGTAATGATGAACTGAAAAATGCTCAAGCTGCTGAAATTGAGCACATGATTGCAATTGATGAGCTCGAGACTAGGAAAGGAATGAACCAAATTGGCACCTTACAACGTGCTGGTGATACTCGTTGGGGTTCTCATTTGAAATCAATTACAAGCTTGGTAAATATGTTTAGTGCAATATGCATAGTTCTAATTAATATAATTGATAACGGAACTACTTATTCTCAACGAGGAGATGCTGATGCAGCTTATGAGGCAATGACTTCATATGAATTTGTCTTTATCTTACATCTTATGAAAGAACTTATGGAGATCACTAATGATCTTTGTCAAGCTTTGCAATGTCAATCCCAAGACATCATAAATGCCATGAATCTTGTTTCTTCCACTAAAGCACTCATCCAAGAATTAAGAGATGATGGATGGGATTCTTTACTGACCAAGGTGAATTCTTTTTGTGAAGCACGTAACATAGATATCGTAGATATGAATGCTCGTTATGTTGCAAGACGAGGTTGAGCTCGCCATCAACAAGATGATTTTATGATTAAGCATTATTACATGATAGATATTTTTTATGCTGCAATAGATTCTCAACTTCAAGAATTAAATAGCAGATTTAGTGATCAAACAACAGAGCTGCTTATTCTGGGGTCGGCTTTGGATCCTCGTGAAGTGAATAAATCTTTTAGAATTGATGATATTTGTCAATTGGTAGATAAGTTCTATCCGCAAGACTTTGAAGATCATGAGAAGATAGGTTTGAGAAGACAACTTCAACATTTTGAGAGTGACGTCGTTAGACTTCCAGAGTTGAAAAACTTGTCAACAATTTCTGATCTATCTCAATGGATGGTAACGACTAGAAGATCAACTACATATCCACTTGTTTATAGAGTGGTTGTGCTTGTGCTTAGTCTTCCTGTTTCTACAGCAACTGCAGAGCGATCATTTTCTGCTATGCGTATAGTAAAAACTAGGCTTCGTAACAAGATGGAAGACGAATTTCTCACAGACTCTTTGATTATGTACATCGAAAGGGAAATTGCAGAAAAGTTTAGCATTGACTCAATCATAGATAGTTTTCAAGATATGAAAGAATGACGAGTGTTATTTTGATACCTAATTGAATAAACAATTATTTTCTGCCTTTAATTTTTCCAAACATTGTTAAGGTTGAAAAAGTGAAATTTTTTAATGTCTTGTTTGGTTTATATGTTGGCCCCCCAACACATAAATTCATAGCTCCGCCACTGCTTGTGCTGCATCCCTATAGAATTTTCTCCTCTGTTTGACTTATGGCAAAGACAAGAGGCAAAGAAGAGAGGCTCCATGTATTGAGGAGAGAAAGAGAGAGAGGAAACCGATTGCACCATTTCCTTGGTAAGCCGTGACTTGATTAGTTTTTTTTGTCGGCCTGCTATCCAGTTTCTACATTGCCGAGACCAGCTGGCCGATTCCCTTTACTGCCACGTTCATTGGGGGGGGAGTGGGGTCTTCTCCTTCCTACTGGCCTTGACTTGTTCTAATTGTCTTCTTCTTTTTGCAGTTGCTTTGACACCATGTCATTTGATGAAGGAAGCCGATCATCCAACTCACAAGCTCTATTATATCTGCTTGGTGGCGCTTATGCCTATAGGAAAAGATTCATAACTGAAATTGGTACTTAGGTGAAATGGGTAAATTAAAGCCTCGATGGAAAAATGTATGACATCAATGATCAAATAAACCTCAAGATAGTATGAAATATTTAAATCCCTGCAAGCCTAGAAGATAACTACATGACAACCTAGGCACTCAGAAGGACCCGTCAATCTAGGCATCCCCTATGCTAGCAACAACTAGAGTGATAGGTGTGTGAACATTCATCAACATTTCAGATATAACACATACACAATGATTAGGCATATGAATAAGAGAATCACACCAGAAATGTTTACCCAGAAACCCACCATTGGGAAAAACTGGGGGTCATCACTTTGACTAGGCAGTCCACTAAGTCAAGAAGATTCTTACAGAAAAAGTAATCACAAGCTCAAACAATCCTACGTGTATTTAGGAAATGAGCACTACCTCCCAGTGAAACCTTCTTCTCCAAACTTAGTTCAGCTAGTAGCTTGTCCTTCATGGAAATGGTAGCTATTCCATTAGCTTTTTCAACCTATGGCATCGCAACTCAGCACCAGATAGTCATCGATGAATGAAATATAGATACTAGAATGAAATGGTCAATTTCTTCAAGAAATCATCCTCTTGAAGAAATCAAAAGAGAATCTGATCTAGCTAGGATGATGAAGTGTTTAAACAAAAACCCTAGATGCATATTTCAAAAAACCACAACAGATTTCAAAAACCAATTTTCAAAATCCCATAATGGACATCCAAACCTCACCAAGTAGAGAATGCAAAGTAAAAGTTTTACTCTAAAAAATTCTCAATGGATGAAATGGATTTCGAAAATAGAAGCAGATTTCAAAAGCTATTTGAAAACCTCATTTCTAGAAACCATGAACACTCTTGGACAAACCAAAGAGAAAACCAAGTTTTCCAAAATTGTGCAAATGAAAAAGATGAGAGATAAAACTTTGATATGCAAAGCTATGGTCAAATTTTCTCAAAAAGAAGTAGCTTTCAAAATGAAAGCTTGAAAACCCATTCATATGCCATAGAACACTCTCAGACAAACCAAAGAGAAAACCAAGTTTTCCAAAATGGTGAAAATGAAAGAGATGAGAGATGAAAACTTTGTATCACTAACAAAAGTTTGAGCATTGAAATTTCAATGAAAGCCCAAAAGGAAATCAAGAACCCATGAACTCTTCTCCCAAAACCCAAAACCTAATTTATACATCATCTCTCACTAGAACTCTCTCACTCCCTAAAAACCCATTTGAAAAATGTAAATAAGAGTGTTAATGAGTCCAGACCACCCTTAGCCACTTTGGTAGGTCAAAAGAACACTTGGCAGCCAATTATTGGACTCACAATAAGCAAAATAACGTGCCTTGGTTAAAAATCTCGTGCTGGAAATATTGGCCTATATGACTAGTCATCTCGACAAATTAAAGGATGCAAATGCTGATTTTCCTAATGATGTCCATTATAAATAAATGCACAAATTACCTTGGTTTTGTAGCCTCATAAGCTCTTCAATGTACTTCAACTTTGTAGCAAATACCCAATGCCAAATTTATAAAGATGAGCTAAGAGGAATTACATGAAAGTGTATGTTGGGGGGAGTACTCTGTTCTTCTTTTAGCGGCTGCATGCTTGGTGCTGATGTTTCCGGTAGCTTTACGAAGAGTTGAAGATGACTTGCTGATGTTTCCGGCAGCTTGACGAAGAGCTGAAGATGACTTGCTGATGTTGAACTGAGATTGTGTGAGCTTGGCATGAGAGCTTGGAGTGTGGGAGCTAAAGACCCAAGTTTAGCAAATGAGAATGCATGTGCTTGGCTTGGTGTTGGATATGCTTGAGTTTGGGTGTTGATAATTTATTTTTTGTGGCTATGACTATGAGAATTTAAGAGTTTCAAGAGGAAGATGGGAGGAAAAGCTTGAGATTTGAAGGCTATGGTGTTTATAGCTTGGAAGGAAGGAAAAGCTTGGAGTTATGCTTAGTGAGGCTTTATGGATTTAAGAGTTTCAAGAGAAAGAGGATGGGAGGAAAAGCTTGATGCTTGAAGGCTATGGTGTTTATAGCTTGAAAGGAAGGAAAAGCTTGGAGTTATGCTTGGTGAGGCTTTATAGAGAATATGATGGATTTCAAGAGGAGGAGGTTATGGCTGGGGTGCTTACAACAGCTAGGAAATAGGTGTGATGATTGAAGAAGGGGGGTTGATGGCTAAAGGAAGAGTCGATGGCTGAAGAAGGGGGTTGATGGCTACTGGGATGCTTGCAGCAGCCAAAGCAATAAGTTGTTGTGCTGCTCTAGCAGCTAAAGGAAGGGCCGATGGCTGAAGAAGGGGGTTGATGGCTGCTGGAACGCTTGCAGAACCTGAAGAAATGTGAGTTCTCATGGTTGCTGGGATGCTTGCAGCAACCAAAGGATGAAGGTTAATGGCTGGGATGATCGCTGGAATGCTTGCAGCAACTGAAAGGAGGAAGGAAGATGAGTTCTCATGGTTGCTGAGAAGCTTGCAGCAACTAAGAGAGGGTTGATTTTGCCTAGCAAATGCCTCCCAATTTATAGAGGGTGAGGGTTTTCCTTTATTTCCAATAGGTAAAAGGATGTGTTGGAGCTAGTCTATTTCCAATGGGTAAAAGGGAGCATTGGGTCATTCTTATTTCCAACAAGTAAAGCTAGGCATTGGAAGATGACTATTTCCTATGGGTAAAAGGAAGTGTCGGAAATGGCTTCACTACTACAAAAAAAGGAAAAAGACGACGGGAATTCACCGTCGTGTATCCAATTTTCAAATAGTCGTGAAATCAACCGACATCATTTCCAAAATCAAACCACGACGATAAATCCCCATCGTTGTTAAAACAAACAACATCATTACCAAATAACAACCGACATTTGTGTATTGAAAAATGAGCCAAAACAATTGTCAAGGATAAGAATAGACGACCAATTTTAACAAACAAACGTCTTTTACAACGCAACACATGACATATTTTAACAGAAAATGGCCGCAAGAGACGCATACCACGACAAAAACTAAAACTCACAGCCATTAGATATACCTTTCACAACACATACAATTATGACGTCTTTAAATAAATAACAAACGACGTTATTTATGCATAAATAACCATCGTGAAACAAATTTTCCACTTCATTTTTTCCATTAATGTTGACGTGGAAATAGAGGTTCGGGTCATTATTTACGACACATGTATTTATATAGACGACGTTGTATTTATAAACAACGTCATCCTCAAATAAAAGACAGCTGTGTTTCAGAATTTATACGTCGTCTTTAAAAACATCACCGTCGTCTAATGCATCTGAGACGGCAATGTTTGTCTGTTGATGGCTGTGTAAAATTATTTTAACGACATGATATGAAAATAAACGGCGTGAAAAATATGTTAGGGTCATTACTTACGACACATTTATTTCTACAGACGACGTTGTGTTTGATGGACAACGTCGTCATCATGTCAAAGACAGCCGTGTTTCGGAATTTATACGTCATCTTTACCAAAATTACGATCGTCTAATATTCCTGAGACGGCAAAGTTTGTCAGCTAACCGTCGTGTAAAATCATTTTAACGACAGAAGAATCAAAAAAGAGACGCGGATATTTCCATATAACGTTGTTTTTATAAAAGAATGACGTCCAAATATCTCTTTACGTCGACAAATTTACCTATGGATTTCAACTACCGTCGTGAATTGTACTGTTTCCACTTCGTTTATGAGTTAACAAGCGACGTGGTAAAATTTAAGACTATGATTTTTGAGATGATACGGACGAGTTCATAATCTAAGACGTCGTCTTTTGTAATGTTCAGGTTAGATATCTCGTCTTTTAGACGTCGGTATTATGAAATTGGAGTTGTGTTATTTGTAATTACATGTCCACTCTTTAGGCTTCTCTGACGTGATATCGTTAATAACTGTGTCACAATACCGTCGTGGTTCTTCTTTTTTACATTGCTTTTAGACGTCGGTAAATACATTGCGGTCGTTGAATGCTCCAATACGTCATTTTTTAATGAAAATTTTATTAAAACAGACGTCTGTTTTTCACATTTTTATCAGGACCGTCATTTTTGTAATCTTGCACTAGTATTTTTTTTTGTTGGTCAAGAGCACCAGTATTGTTTGTACTGATTGTTTTGTGGCCAAAACCTGCATAATGAAAGTGAAGAAAACACATTACAATTTATTACAAAATTAATGTCATACACTGCCGTTTAGGGCATAAGTAATTTCATAAATTACAAGAGCATCATTCAATCCATATATCTTCACACCCATCTCGAATACTTTGACTCCCAAACTCACCTACTAGTTCATCAAATGTGTCAACATTTGGCATCCCTTTAGTAAATGGCTCACAATCAATTCTCACATTACCTAAGACATCATCACCAATAACATCATTATATTCTCTATTAGGCATTGATAACACTACCAACCAACCACGATG